CCCCCCCCCCCCCCCCCGCTCCGCCCTTCTCGACTTCGAGGGGTCTCTAAACATAATATCTAAATCTCATAAGGGGACAAGTGACCGATCATCAAAACCACTAAGGCAAGCAACGCAACGAGCACCCGTCTTTGCGTCTCGCTCGACTGCTTGTCTCCTCCGCAGACAGTGGAGCGAGGCATGCCGCCGACGGCGTGGTGCATCAGCAACCGGCAGCCGTACGGCGGGGAAATCGACCACCCAGACTCGCTCCTGCTAGCAGGGCCGCAGATCCTCGGCCGCTTCACCACGACCCCGCAAGTCAACAGCCAGAGCAGGCGGGGGGGTGGTTGCGGGGGGGGCGACGCCGCCGCTGGACCCTGCAACATCGCGCGGCTAGGGCCAGGGGCGTGCTTGGAGACGGCGGAGGCAACTGGGAGAATCAAGCGGCACCTTGAGACGGTCCTCGACCGGAGGCTTGAAATGCTCGTGGCCGACTTCACCAGGGACGATCGGGGGCGGCTGTGGTGCTTGCAGGTCGGCTTGGTTTTGGGGTGTCGTTGAGGTTACTGCAATACATATCGTTTTTCGGGACGCAGTGTTGTGCGTAGTGTTGCCATTACCTTGCGTAATGAAGGTGCAGTGTATACTCTGTAAAGCTCAAGGGTTAGTGAAAGCATGTGAAATACTTAGGCCTGTCCTCCATCGACCGTTTTATTTTCGATTTAGATACACAAACTTTATTTCTATACTAATTTCAAGTAATTCCACCTTCTTATTCTCCGTCATACAAGCAAAACGGCCGATGGAGGACAGGCCTAGAAATACTTCATTTACGAGCAGGTGGTATCTTACGGGGTTGGCGGAGAAATTATTGGGAAAATCGTCCTGGATCGAAAGCGGGAGGGAGCATGTCACAGACTACCGGGGGCAGCTGTACCGTGTATGCTGTGCCTACGTGTACACATTTGTGCGCATACGTATCTCCATGTGCACTTTGGATACGGGTTAATGTGCGTATATGAAGCATTCTTGTTTGCGAGGAGAAGCACCCGGAGGCCGAAGCATTTCCCGCTGAGCGAACGTTGAAGACACAAGCCACGACAACAGCGGCGGCAGTCAAACCAATCCCCTCCTCCCAACCCCGTTCCCTTTTCCGATCCCACACGTGCTTCCTCTCACTAAGGTTAAGGCTTTCCGTTTCATGGGCTGCGCACCTCGACGGCCGTTCCGACTCACGGCAAAAGACAAAGAAAACGCCAACTCCCGGTTACAGGGGGAACTCCCCTGCGTCAAGCGAAGGAGCTCCTCTTGCTCCTCCTCCCCGTCCTCCTCCGACACAAACGATCAGGCAACAACAAGCGGTCCGCCTTCTCTCAGAGCAAGGAACAAGCGTGTCGCGAGCGATCGGCGTCGAAGAGGGGGCAAGAGCGGCGTTGGAGGTGGCGGCCGCGACGACGGGTGGCAGAACAAAGGAGGCGGTTTCGAAACGGCAGAGATCAGCAGGAGGTCACGCTCGGGTTCGGGGGCTATGGTTGGGGCAGGGGGAGAAGGATTCGGCCTGAAGGACGACTGGGGGGCGGCGGAAGAGGCCGCCGTGGCTGCTGCTTCGAGTTCGGGGGGGGGTCGCGGCGGCGGCGGCAGCGGCGGCGGAAAGTCGGAGAGAAGAAAGCTCGCATGCGGCATGTGCGGAAGCATGCGTTTCCCCGAGGACGTGTCGTTTCGGATGACCGCGAAGATGGTCAGGGAAACCTTGTTTCACGTGAGTAGTGGCGAGTTAGGACTGGGTGGGTAGTCGGAACTGTTTCTTTTAATGTTGGAGACGACATGCCCTCTGCCTTGCTACTCTGCGGCATGCCGTTGCCTTCTTTTGTCGCCCTGCTCATGGCAGAGCAGGCGCAATGACGACAGAGAACCTACCTGTACAAGAATTCGCGTGGGGTACCCGGCCTCAACGAGGTCATATCAGTCCCGTCCTTTCAGACACGGGGCGGGGGGTGGCCGTGAGGTGACGGGGGGAAGTTGAGGAAGGTACGTACCTGCGGAGCAATATGGTCGGTGCCCGGGCAAAGTCGGCATGTTCATCGCCACGTACAGGTTTTTTCTTCTTTAAGAATTTTCAGCCGCCTATCACCCGTTCCCCTCTCCCCGGCTGGCCGGCCATCCCTCGTTCTGCCTTTGGCGCGACAATCCAGATTTGGAGCCGATTGTCTCCCCAACAAGTCCCGAGGTCTTTGCGGATCGACGGCGGGGGAGAGACTCACGCCGGGGCGGCCACCGCAGCCGCCGCCGCCTACATCGCGCGGGAAGTTGCCATCGCTGGCGCAGCCCGTCCTGCGATTGCTTCCTCCAAACCAAGCACAACGGTCACGACCAACGGGCCGCTCGCCCCTCGTTCGTCGGCTGCTGCTACCAGCAGCTGCCACTTCGTGCCCAGCGCGAGCGTGGCCTACGGCAACGTGCGCTCGTGCGAGGCTTGCTTCACCCTGCACCAGGCCGAGGCCTCCCTCATCAGGGCGGAGCGCAGGCTCGCGGCAGCTATCGGGGGAGGGGGTTGCACTCGAGGGAGAAGTAAGGGGGGTCATGGTGGCACGGGCTTCGACCCTGGTCCGACTGCGAGAACAAGGGCTTCTGGTGCCGCGGGCCGAGGTGTGAAGGGGGCGAGTGATCCACAGGGGGGGCTGGGGAGCCTTGCGAGGGCTGCTGCTGCTGCCGGAGGGCAACAGCTGGGTCATACGGGGAGGAGCCTGGGAAGCACGAACAGTGCTGGTTGCCTGGAGGGGGCGAGAGAAAGTCGAGCAGGAGCTCGCGACGGCGTGGGTGAGGTGAGCGAGAGGTGAAGGTGATGCTGTGCCACCCCGCGGATTTGACGACCGTGTTGTCTCCACCCCGCACTGTTTCGCATCAGATCACGCGGCGAAACAGCCCAGGAACCACATCCTCATCAAGCCGATTGCTACATACCATACTTCAAGGGCATGCCTCTTGGTCGATTTCGTGCGCACGAACGTGTCTCGCCATTACAGGAGGACGCGCGCCACCATGCACATCACCACGGCTTCGATCGGGAGCCTCTTCTTCCGGGTGGCCATCTGAGCCTCTGCCGCATCCTCTTGGCGGTCACCGAAATCCTGGACGTGCCGAGGGATTTCCTGAGAGAGGCCGCCGAGCGCACCCGCTCCCTTCAGCTCCGGTACGAGCTTCTCGGGCACCGAGAGGTGATTCACCTGGAGAACCCCCTTGCAGTCGCCCCGTTGGGACCGTCGAGAAGCGGTAACAGCGCTGTCCGGTTTTCGGGGGGAAATGATGGTGATGTTGTTAGCGGAGCAACGGCAGGGGCCCGGACAAAAGGAGGGCGAGAGGAAGGAGCGGGACTTCTGGTGCCAGTGTCGGTCAATCATTTCAGGTGAAATATTACGGTAGGCCTCGCTACTACTGCTGTAGCTATGGATGTGTGACACGCTCGCACCGCTGATGCTAATGTCGGGCAGGAACACACTCAATGTTCTTCAACCCCGAGCGGCAAGAGCAGGCCGAATGGTAAGAAGAGTGTCCCTGCGGCTCGAGCAAAGGGTAGATGTTATCCTAGCGAAGACAAAGAGTCCACAGCAAAGCCCCCTCCCCCCCGCAATCTAGACTTCAGTGGGTTGGCGCTGTTGGCAAAGCGCTGTAAAACACGCCACCCCAAATATAGCCCCCATAGTATGCGCTACCAAAGACGCGTGACGCATGGATGCGTGGAGTGAGGATTGCTTACGGAAACCTCACAGGTTGAGTGATGTAGGAGATTGCCGGACACATAGACGTGTTGAGTGATTATAGCTGTATACTGAAACCCCACGGAAAGGGGAGGTTTGAGATTGCCAGACACATAGACGGGTTGCGTGGGGATAGCTGCTGGAACCCCACGGGTTGAGTGATGTTGGAGTGCCGGACACATAGACGCGTTGAATGAGGATAGACACATAT